TTTATGAACATCAGCGCTGGAAAAGTGCACAGTAATGAAGTTGCATTCAAAGTTAATTTTGAAACAAATTGAAAAATCCTGAGTGGACAGTTGTAAACAATTGCACAACTCTGCTTATGGGCGATACCAGCCACAGAAGTTTGTTGTTCCAATTTTGTGGTGCATTTTAAAATACTGTATTTGGTTGTAATTGGGAAAGTGCTGTAGTTAACTGTTTAGAAAACTACGGTAACAGCGTTGAAATTTAAGTGTATGTTATGTTACACAGTTTACACAACATTCTACCGTATCAGGAAGTCAGATAGACCAATACTATTACTGTAAATGCTAATTGTGCTGCAAGAAAGCAAGTCTGCTCATTTGGAAAGTGAAACAGTGCATTAGACTGATTGACGTATGTGAAGATTGATGGGAAGTTCATTTGAGTGGGGAGCTTTCTGTACGTTGGCAGTCAGTGTAGCTTGTTTGAGTTTGCAGCGTTCCTCGATTCCAGTGCAGTTGTACAGTACATAGCAAATGGAGATCATTCTGGAGATAAGCATATTGGAAATGGTAGTAGTGTTTGAGGTGGCATGACCCCTGTGTCAGAAGATGTTAAGCTGTTAAGATGTTAAGAAGATGGTCAGAGATTGAACAAAATGTCTGTGAAAAGAAATGGGTCCTGTGATGAACAGTTTTCAAAATATCAGCTTAGATCAATGACAAGAAGCATCTATGGCAAGGATCTGCCAGTTCTTTTGACGCCTTCTATTTGGGTAAGCCAAAATTTAAATGTCTTGCAAATAACTGAACTGATTTCATGGACAGATATTTTATGATTTATGTATTCTATAATCTGGCCAAAAATTGTCCTTGATTGCTTTTGATCTAATGATACAGGTTTCAAATTCCAGTAATGCAGTACAATTGTTTTTTGTTTGTGCTGTATTTTAGAATAAAATCATTAAATGAAAGTGGCACTGCTGCTCATTAACTCTGAAATTGTGTTGAAAAGATGCCAACAGCATTTCAATATAATAATAATCCTTGCTTTTGATAAAGCACCATATCACATCTTGGGACGTCCTCACGACGTGAAAGGCGCTATACAAATGTAATCTTGTTGTTGTTGTTGTTCGAGACATATCAAACCGCTTCATAGAATACACCGTGAAGTGAATTCACTGTATATTTTGTGGGTGAAATTTTTTTTCTAACACTTGGAAGTACGCAGTCATTACACTTATCTGTGGAGCACTTTACCATGGTTTGATGTTTTGGTACTATATCGACCACAAGATTTACTTATCACAAGTGAGCACAGAAAGTGTGTCAGTAGGTTTTTGACTGTAAGCTGGCATCACTTATCAGCCTCGTTCCACATTCTTCACCCCACATTACACTCATGCACTTTATAGCAAAAAGATGCAGGCTAGTCCAGGAAACTGATGTTGATTTGTAGCACCCTTCTCTGTTGTCTGTTTGAGATCATCTTACTCAGCAAATTAACAGAACAGGAACAATCCCTGGTACCATCATGTGCTACAAAGGTGGTATTTATTCACTCTCCTGGTTTCTATAACATATACATTCTCTGGTATTGTTTTTATATAATAATACTCCTTGCATTTAATATAGCACCTTATCACGTCTTCTAGATGTCTCAAAGCAATTTCAGAATGTACTGTAAAGCGAATTGCTATATGTTTTGTGGGCGAAACGTGGCAGCCATTTGTGCACAGCAGTGTCCCACAAACACTCATCGATTAAGTGATCAAATTATTATCATTATAATAATAATAATCCTTGCATTTGGTAAAGAGTTTTTCCACGTCTTCTAGACGTTTCAAAGCGCTTCACAGAATATACTGTAAAGTGAATTGACTATATATTTGTGGGTAAAACGTAACAGTCAATTGTGCACAGCCATGTCCCACAAACAGCTGTGGATCGAAGTGACCAATTTATTGATTTTTTTTCTTGAGGGATTATTATCAGGCGTGTGGAGCAAGGAAACTTGCCCAAGGTTTTGCCCTGCCGGGAATCAAACCCAGGTTTCTTGCTTGCGAGTGCTTGGACCACTGAGCTACAGGATAATTTCTTTGAAGGGATTATTAACCCTGGAATAGTGATCAGCCAATCAACTGATGACTGAGTTCCTACTTACTTCGAGGCAAACAGATATCTACTATTTATCTCAGATATATCTCTACTACCTCCAAAAAAATGAGCAAAACTTGTTGCAAAGTTTACTACAAAATTTATCCCTCAAATTGGAGCTCTTTCGGTTGGATTAAAACTTTATTGAACTCTAAACTCTACATACATGCGACAAGTCTAGCATAATACATGATCTAGTATTTATTTTTGTATGCATTGTGGATAGTCTTAATATGAACTGTTATAACAGCAGAGTGCAGTTTAATGTTTCCTATTCTTTCACGTAAGACTTATTTCATATTCAGTCAGAAGGGTTTGATTACAAAATTTGAAAATCTGACCGGTTTGGATGGATTAAGTTTAACACAAGAGTCGCCAAAATGCTCAATTTTAATCACAAGAGCGGTTCTAATGAAGGAAGCCCTTCAGCCAACTTCGTCTCATCCTTTCAGAATACCGAACCTATTTAATTTATTACAAATTGTTGCTTTAAATTTTAAGTTCTCTACTTTTTGAGAGTTTAAAAAGTTTAAAAACATAAGCATCATTGGGTTATTTTGTGCTAGTGATGGTGAAACATCTATCCTGACCTCCTGAATGCAGAACTGAAACAAGGGTTGTCCTGGTTGCTGGTAATAATGTGATGTAGATTTTTTAAAAAAAAACAAGTCCATTGAGCAATGTAGATAGAAATTTAAACAACTACAAGATTACATTTGTATCGCGCCTTTCATGTCGGGAGGACGTACCAAGGCGAAGGACAAGTTCTTTTCAAAAATAATTCAAATGTATAATTTGTCTTACCGAATTCATCCAGTGAGTTAAGTAGTTGAGCTGTAATCATTTACAGACTCCCAGGTTTGATCCATAGGAACATAGCAATATAGGAATTGCTAGACGAAAAAGACCAAGGTCTATCTAGTTTGTCTTGTATCATCCTGGTAATCGCATGCAGCAGTAATGGAGATGTTGATAGCAGCTAATTCTGTGTGGATTAATTTACAACAGAGTGGAAAGCTTTGGGAACCTTAGATGCAAAATTGCTCGGAAGAACCATGACACACTTTCTACCACGGCTGTTTGTGAGACACTGCTGTGCGCAATTGGCTGCCACGTTTCGCCCACAAATATACAGTCAATTCGCTTTACAGTATATTCTGTGAAGCGCTTCGAGACGTCTAGAAGGCGTGAAAAGCGCTACATCAAATGCAAGGATTATTATTTATTATTATTATTACGTCATGTATAAATTGCTCTCTTCCAAAATATTATTTTCTAAAACATCCCATTTTTTATTTGCTACATCCTTTTATTTTATAAATATATTCAACTTGTTTTCAACATTATCCAATGGATTGACTTAAAGGTCCTCTCTCTCACCTATAAATTCCTCCCCATATCCGTGATCTTCTCTAACTCCATTCTTTTGTCTCCCCCTCATTTCAGCAAACTCTGACCTGCTGCACATTCTCCCACTCCCACTGCCTCCCTCTCCTTCAACAATTTTGCTCCAAACCCTTGGAACTCCTTCTACACTATGGTCTCACAACCTCTCCTTTTCTCTCTTTAGATCCCACATAAAACTTACCTTAGGACCTTCCCCTCCCCTCATTGTATTGAGGTGTTTTGCTTTCTAAATGTGTTTTATTGCCAGTCATTTCAGATGCCGGGCCAACTGTGATTGGAAGTTATGAAATTATCGCCCTGTTATCATTGAATCTTTTGCCATTCCCGAATATGAACCATAGAAACTGAAAGAGGTCTTGCTCAATCTCAAAGCCATTTAATTCCAGTAATCCTCTTTCCTGTTGTGTACTGTGTGTGTACTGCTGTAGTATGTGAAGTTGGAAAACTTAAGAAATCTTGCTACAAAGGATAAATGCAAGACGAATGGCAATGGGGGAGTAAATTGCTGTGACCTGTGCATTTCTACAGTGTTTTAAGTTATCAGATTCAAAAAAATGTGGACGGCAGTTTACGTGACTGTGAGTTGAATGCGGTAAAGGTATATTTAGAATGTAATTGGTTCAGTATTATAAATTTATAACTTAACGTACAGTTGCCAAGAAACTAGTTATATTTCTCTGACAAAATCAAATCAGTCTCTGAAAGTGAGTGAGATTTGACTGATTTTCATGTAGCAATAGGTCCGTATATTGTGGAGTATTTACTTCCAAGCAAACTAAACAGCACTACAGCAGTCAGTTTGTCATTTTTGCCGGAATTTGCTTTTCTATAGAATAATGAAACTCTTTGCTGAAATACTTTTAGGTTTCCATTATTGTATATTGTATAAAAGTGCTGATTGAGATGAGGGTAAGGTTATCATTCTGCAGGTTTTGTGAACTACTCATTGCTGAGTAGCTCATAACTTTGTCACAGTTTTGTACCTTTGTCGCAAACTTTGTCACAGTTTGACAAACCCACAAGTATGGAAAATGACATTCAGAACTATATTTTGATCAAAAGCAACCATTAAGGCATATGATATTAATTGTCTTCCAATAGCTATGATTAGCTATATGCTCTCTTTGTGTTCCTTCTATGGAGACTGACTGAAATCTGACTCCTTTTTGTATCAGCTAATTTCATGACAGATTAATAATGGGGATGAGTAGGGAAGTGAAAACTAAAGTCTGATCCTGACAAATAATCTTTTTTTAAAAAGAATAAACTGATTTTAGTCTATTCTCTTGAGGGCAATATTTAATAGCGTGACAACCAATGTATAACTTATTTAATTAGGACGTGAAACGCACTACATCAATGTAATTTTTTTTTTTGGTGTTCATTGACCAAAAAGGGAAGCTGTACACTTTGTGATTGTAAAAAAAAAAAAAAATCTTCTCTCTTCGTTGCAGTCGCAAACCATGAATTATGTTGGGCAGTTGGCCGAGCAGGTGTTCGTCACAGTGAAAGAACTGTACAAAGGATTAAATCCAGCCACCTTGACAGGATGCATCGATGTCATTGTAGTGAGACAGCCAGATGGTTCATATCAGTGTTCGCCATTCCACGTCCGCTTTGGTAAGCTTGGGGTATTACGATCAAAAGAAAAAGTGGTAAGTTTCTTCAGTTTCGCTTCCATTCATTTCTGTCATGACACACCTTAATATTTGAAGTAGACACGCCTATGAAACGTTTTATGCATTACAAGAAAACAATTTCTTCTGCTTTTGCAGAAACATTAATTTGTTTGTGACTGACCTTTTTTTGGATCGAAAATAATATTTTTAATAGATATTTTTCCAGTAGGTAAATCCTAGACACCATAAATCAATAGTCTAGTTTGTCCACTTCTGACATACAGGTGCTCGTTTAATTTGGAAGCAGAGCTGAACTTTATCATTGTGCAGTTTTTGTTATGGTGAATTTCGTTTGAGACTTTTGGTAGGTTGTGTTGGGAATATTTTTGTCAAATGAAATTCTAGTAAATTTTTATTCTGGGGTTTTGTGTCTCTCAGTCGGATGTTGATAGTGGATCTGGGACTTGTCGAAAGCACTGAGAGTGGAATAGAAATGGTGTTGGATCAGATATGGTACAGGAGATTAAAATGAGGAGCAGATAAAAATTTGTGATTAGACAAAAGGATCAGATTTCATACTTTTTCAAACAGTATCTCACTTTGTTCGACTTTGTATGTAACCACAGTGCGCGTATAATTAGCCACACCCTATGATCATAATCGTTGAGGAATGAAAGGGAAGAATGTTCTAACACTTGACATGCTGGATTGATTTGAAATCCCATGAATGGTGTCTGTGATCGCGGCTCTTAATGCAGATGTATATTTTGACTGACCAGAGTTTGGGTAAAATAATTGATTTAACACTGTATGCAATATTTCTGTTTATTTCAGGTCGATATTGAAATCAATGGGGAACCAGTCGAGCTGCAGATGAAACTAGGGGACACAGGGGAGGCTTTCTTTGTGGAAATAACAGAGGAAGATGAGGTATAATAATAAAATAATACTAATCCTTGCATTTGATCTAGCACGTTATCGTTTCTATATACATTTTTTTTTGCACAAATCACTTTTATTTGTGGAGCTGAAATTTATGCTGTTCAAAGAATTTAGAGACCATTTATAACAATAATAACTAAAATAATAATCCTTGCAATTGATGTAGCACCTTATCACGTTGATGAGATATCTTAAAATGCTTTACAGGATATACTGTAAAGTGGATTGACTGTATATTTTAAGAGATGATCCAGAAACAATTAAAACCAAGTTTGTCAAAAATATATCTGAGAGGCTTGGATATCTATACTGCTGCTAGATTTGATTGAAGCATGAAGTCGATGTTGCAGATTATTCATGTGTGTTTGTTTTTTGGGCAGGGCACTGTTCCGACACACTTAGCGACATCACCAATTCCGATTGAAGAGCAGACTTATTACATAAAGGAGACCGATTTGTTAGGGGCCAGTGCTGAATCAGTTGAAAATCAGAATTTGCCAAGTCCATTTAACATCCCAGAAATTGAGAATAGTACAGTTACCACTTCAACCAAAAAGAAAAGACGTCGTAGGAGGAAATACAAACAAGGGAGTGCCAAGAAAGAAGACCAAGAATCCTCTTCAGATGAACAGGATGTGCCCGAGCTGGACATCAGCTCAGAAGAAGTCAGATATGTGGCGACAAGGTTGTTCATTTTCTAAATGGATTGATATTGCGATTCGTTTCGGCCATGCGATTTTATTGATGGTTTGTCAGGATATAAACCAATGAGTGATGTCTGAATCACAATTGATTTATTTTTCATAAACTGTACCATTGTGTATCTGGCTCGCCCCTTATGTCAACCAGATGTTTAGTGTATATGGTCTAAGACCATATTAATGACTTTTTTTGCCCTGGGGCGTATCGTGGTAGAGGGCCCCTGGATGTTTTATGATGGTTTATGTCTGATGTGTTTAGATGGCAGTTAAAGGGGTTTAATGCTGAAGGAGCATGTTCAGTGAACACATTGTGAAATGGGAGAAAATAGTGTTCAAACGTTTTCATGTCATTCAATAATAACGATTATGGGTGGAATGAATCTATCATTATAATAATCTGATACTAATCCTTGCATTTGATATAGCGCCTTATCACATTTTCGAGACGTCTCAAAGAGTTTCACAGAATTACTGTAAAGTGAATTGACTGTTTTTTTTGTGGGCAAAATTATCTCAGATGATGCCTTTTTATGACACAAAAACTTATTATTATTGTGCGTTGTTACTGTTGTATTGAGACTGTATAGTGTGCAGATAATCATCTTTTTAAGTGTTCATTTGTTTTTGTTTCATGCAGCACTGAGATGTACCATTTATATTCTGAACTACGAAGTGAGCATTCAAGCACGTTTCATTCACGAGCAATCTATCCATATTCAGATGGAGAATGGTCTTCTGGTGAAAGGTATGATTGATGTGAAATTAACGAAATGTTTAAACTTTTTTTTAATCTGACGCTTCATAAACTTATTTAAAATTTCTTTTGAAGCCATTCCTATAACCGACCTCCATCACCAAAAAGTGACTCCGAATTGGTTGTAAAATTGCACGATGGACCGTTTGCAGGGACGGAGCCTCGAATGCAGTGGTCTTGGGGAGGATTTCCACAGGTAGGGGAACTGTGCTAAATGGGTCAGTTATTGAGTTCAAGGCAGATTGTAAACTGCTCTAAAATAATTCTTTAGGCATCGTCCATCTTTTTGCAGTACTTGGTGTATTTCTATCTTGAGAAATGCTTCCCTCTTTAGAGCTAGGGTCTTATAAAAGATGGTTTCCTGTTTTAAATGTTCTAAGAATTTCTGTCCTTGTAATGATGCTACAGACGTAAAGAAATCATCACCTTCATGAAGACTTAAACTGAAGGTCGAATGTTCTGTAAAATGGCTTTTGTCTTGCAGGTTAGTAAAATGGGAAGATCTGAACAGCCAAGAACAGCTACCATTACACCTTGTGAGCATACGCATTTCCGAGTGATCAAGGACGACGATGCAATAGAATCAGTTGCATTGAATTCCTCTGCGGTCAACAATATCATAACTGTTTTACGGCCTCAGCCTCAGCCGCTAACCCAAACAAGCCTTACATCGCTGGAGAAATCCATGGAAAAAGAAACTGCGGCAGTAACTGAGCCAGATTTTCCTGAAGCCACGCCTTGGCAACTGCCTGAAGCAGAAGTGAAAGAGGATGCTGTTACGGATATCTCGCTTCAAACATTACAACTCCAAACCACTGAAAATGGTTCATCAGAACAGCCAACTGACGAAGTCTTCAAGCCCATAGTGCAGCCAGACCCCGAATCCAATAAACAAATAGACCCAGGCACTTCAGAAAGTAGTATCAGTACAGCACAGCAGATGTCGCCAGAAGAAACCAGTGGAAAAACTGAGGATAAAGATAAAAAGAAAGGTAACTATAAGACTAAAAGTACAATTACTTTTTCTTGTTTGCCAGTTACAGTACTGATTGCAATTATGTGATTGTCGCTTATGCTGTTTCTCTACATCTTGGTTTTCTCTGCAGAAATCGTGCCTTTTTCTGTCTTCATTTGTGGCTTATTTAACTTCTGTTTCCTTTCAACTTCTATTGTTAACCACCTTCAGGAAATTGAGGTCTAAATCTTTGCATTATTGAAGAATTGCTGCATTCAATGTCTTGCACTGCTCTTGTTCACATCACACGTTCAATTCATCACGCCCTTGTTTATCCTACCATAGAATGTTTATCAGATCATCGTTGAAAACTGGGGAAGAAAAGTATCGTTGACAGATTTTTAATTTCCACCAGCTGCTTTTGTTTTTCTCAGTTTGCATGGCTATTTTCATATTTTGTTCTGCACTCTACCTAGAATTGCAACTCCTATCTCAATGAGATATTTTGCTTTCAGAATCCAAGCACACAGATTCACATACCAATAAAGTGTACCACTTAAGCAATGAGTCTGATGTACATATTTAAAAAAATTATTTTGGAAAAAGTTATGAAAACAAACTGATTTTTTTTTGGTTTGAAATAGGTGGATCTAAAAGAAGTCAACACCTGGGTCCTTGTGATATCTATTTGGATGACCTCCAAAAGTTGGATCCTAATGTCGCAGCTCTGTATTTTCCAAAGAGGTACGTACGTTAGTACTTTTGATCCAAGTATATGCAGATAACTACAACTCAATTCGGACTGTGTTTGACCTTTTTTTCAAATGAATACTTTTGAAATTCGTGCTGTTAAGTTTTCTTAAAAGCTAAATATTATGTTATGATCTTCTCCTTTCTGGCCCTTCCAGATTATTTGAGTGTAGTGTAGGATTTTGGAGTTGTGAGGTTGGGTGGCAAGATTCATTTTGCATCAACATGCAAAAATGGATTGCCAAGGAGGTGTAGGAATGAACAGGAAGAACAAAAGAGAAATGGGATGTTAAGCTTCATTGCGTATATTTAAACCCCCACCTCTAATGACAAGAAAAATAATTGAAAATGTTTTTTTTTACAATCGTTTGGTAAAATGTCTCCCACGAACGATGTCTCTCATTTGTGCTTTTTGAATTGCTTCAGTTGCCAGTGAAGGATATTCCTCATCATATACAATGACGAACTCCTCTGTGATGTACTGTGTGATTTGCCATTTGTTGTGTAATGTTTTATTTTGCATGGTATTTCTTTTTCAGTGAACAAGATTCGGTTTCTAAGCAATTGAATGAGCCTGGTACACACTCAGAGTCTCAGTCTCCGCAATCAGTTGGAAGCGCAGCTGTTGACAGTGGCACAGAATATCTGTCGGATTCAGCTTGTGATCTGCCTGATGTCAACCTGTCTCTGTGCGGTGGTCTCAGTGATAACAATGAGATTTCTCAAGGTACACTTAACTAAATGGGGCACAACAGCTGAAATGAAAATATTCTAACAAAACTTTGCCACTAATCTCTGAGTTCAGTGATTGGAAAAAGTTAAATGTTATTGGGATTACTGGCTACAATATCAGATCTGTGATACGACTGGCTAGCGCACTAAACTCCCAGTGTATCCCTAAGAATATTGATTTTTTTGTAATTGTCTTTGATCACAGGGAAGTTCCTGCAGCACAGGATCAAATATCAGGAGTTGGTTGAAAATCCTGGGCTTATTGATGATCCAAATCTAGTTATTGGAATCAACAAGAAGTAAGTTCCTGACCTCCAGAGTATTGGAGAAGTCATTTATTTTCCCTGACATTTTAAATTCAAAGCAAATTCAAAAGAGTTGCAATTTTTCTTCCACTGAGGTTGACGTTTTACAAAGAACCTTAAATGTTTTACTTTTGTAAATTGTTGCTTAACAAATCCAACGAAAAGTTGAACGCATAATTTCGACAAAACGTTTTTCACCAGATCTCTGTTCCTGATTTGCGATTCCTGCAGTTATTATTGTGCTTGTTTCTTTATCAGACTCTTTTGTAATCCATTCTTGACCTAGGATTCCAAAATATTGATTTTTTTCCCCCTCCCGTTCTATGATAATTCACAACTAAAGTCCAGTGGACTATTGAATGGATCATTTTCTGAAGATTTTCAAATCCTATTCGGGATAGTTTGCTGTTGATCCCACTTGCATTACTGTTTGGCTGATTTTACTTGAATGAAAATTGAGAACTATTTGGGCAAATCTTAAGTTTCTTTTAAGATTAGAATGTAGGCCTGTTTACAGTGTATGAAACACGTGGACTTTGTATGTTTGATAGGTATTACAACTGGGCAGTCGCTGCTCCTATGATTCTCTGCATGCAAGCTTTTCAGAAGAATTTACCTAAGGTATAAATTGTACATTTGATGAGTATTGCTTCAGCGAAGAGCTTGTGTCTACTGATTTGTTGGATAGTTTTAAAGTTGAATTATGAAGTTTAATTGAAATGCATTTCCTACTTTATTTTGGAAACAGTACTGAACGTTTCTCCTCTGTCCCATGTCTCCTCTTACTCATCTCCTGGCAGCAGTCACTTCTGTTTGGGTGGGTTCCCTCGCCAAAGTCGTTGGTTTTCACGTGCGAGCCTGGGTATCGAAGCTCTTCAATTATTTGACCATGGGGGCGGTGAGGCATGAAGTGTGAGGGGAAAGAATACTGACACACGAGTAGCAAACTCCTTCAAGTTGGTGTAACAAAGTACTGTTCCCAAGTCATCGGTTTGGGACCTTGTTCTTTCAGGGAGAGAAAGATAGAAGATGTAAATTGATTTGTGGGTACGTACAAATCTTATTTAGTCTTAAAAGGATGCTCTTCACTGCAGGCGACGATTGATAAGCTTGTGAAGGAAAAGATGCCAAAAAAGACTGGCAGGTGGTGGTTCTCTTGGCGAAGGAAGAACTCTACAACAACAGAGGTGTGCTTTCTTCTTTCCAGCTGTTACCATTAGTTTGGCACAGGCCCGATGGGCCAAATGGCCTGCTGTGCTTTAATGTTCTATGATTCTTTATGAAACTAAATGAAGATGAACAGACTAGATGGCCATAGTACTGCGATTCATAAAAAGACTCCGACTGCATATCAGTTTAAATGGAACTTTTGTTTGCCATACAAGTAAAGTATGAGAAATTCTAGAAAAACTTCTTTCAACATATTTGAAGATTTAATTTTTCTGATATTTTAAGGCACAGTTAAGTAATTCTCCATCAAGGCGTTTGCTAGTATGTGGTATTATTTGATGTGTATATAATGCATTGATTCAGTACCTTTGCTTACAGCCAGACGCCAAGAACAAAATAGATGAGGAACAGAATGAAACCAATGAAATTAAACAATCTACTTCACTAGAGAGTTCAAGGTAACATTCAAGCATTTATGTTTATCACACCCTTTGCAGTACAAAGATTATTATTACTTGCTTTTTAACAAAGACTGTGGCAGCTGATTTTATTTTGAAGCATCAGACTTGGAAAGATGCCAATTCCAATAGTTGCCAAATCATTTACTGTTAACTACCAGAAACTGTTCACTTCACCCTCTGAAATCACCGACGTACTTTGAAGTTAACTTGCATTGTTAAAACTTCAAATGTTATCTGTACTGTTCCTTGTGTGTGCCATGCAGGCCGAAGGATGAATTTACTTCTAGTGATGATGACTTTGGTAACATGAAGGAGCGTCCAAAGCCAGGGTCTAAATATCAAGATTCACCTGGTCAATGCACCACAATTACATTCAAGAAATCCTTGAGACTGTCATCAGAAAAACTGGTAAGTACATTGCTATTAACTTGAACACACATCACATTGGTGTGAAGCATGAAATACATTTATAGATAAATTGTCACATGCAGTTTTTATTGGTTTTAAAATGACTGATTTTGAAAATGTGGATATATTACCCTATCTGTATACATATATGAGAGGAAGAGTGTGCATCACTGCCCACAATGTTTACAGTGGAAAATGAATGAATATACCATTTGATCTCGATTGATTGATCTTTTGGGGAGTGATTCGCAAGCCATTCTAATTTGAAGCCGATTTGGTGTCTCTTAGAGCACTATGAGTGCCCATTCTTAGTCGGTTTCCAATGCTTTCTGATTTTATATTTAAACAAAATACCATTGTTTTGAAAATGGATTTGTTTAAGTGGTACAGTATAATCAAGGCGTTCCTTAGATCAGTTACCCAGATTTTTGTTCCATAGCTGAAAACTTATCATTCAAAACTGAGCACCAATGTTACCTCTTTCGGTGTGGAATAATTCCAGAAAGACATTTATTTTCTTAATCCCCTTTCAGAAGAGTCTAAATCTGAAAGATGGTCCAAATAATGCAGTATTCAGTGTAACCACTCAATATCAGGGAACCTGCCGTTGTGAAGGTACTATCTACCTCTGGAACTGGGATGATAAGGTTATTATATCAGACATCGATGGGACAATAACTAAGTAAGTGGTCACTTTTTTTTCCCCGATTAAAACTGTTCATTGCACTAACACTTGTGCAGTCACATTAATACCTTTTTAATTTAAACATGATTTTTGTTTCTATGATATTACTGAAATATATTTCTCCATTCAGTGAGTTATTGAGTTCATTTGTTTAACCATTGAATTTTTGTGGTTTTTTTTTAGATCCGATGCTTTAGGACACATTTTGCCACAACTGGGAAAGGATTGGACCCATCAGGGGATTGCAAAACTATACCACAAAATACACCAGTATGTACTAAAACTTATAAAGTAAATTATGATGTGAGCTACAGTATTGTTTACTTAGGCCTATATAAAACTTTCAAAGAAGCGTCACAGGCACAAATAAACTGGGAAAAAAAATAGAAATATATAGTGGAAGGTGGGATTTGCTAAGGAGATTTTTCTTTCATTAAAAATTGAAGCCGGTTATTTGTAAGGCGTGTAATGTTAGATGTGGTGTGAATGGAGGGAAGTTTTGAGTGCCAGTCCAGCACATTCACGCAAAATTGTACAAAGTTGTTGCCTAACTCTATACGATTGTACGTTATATTTTAGCGCCCACTTACAACTAGATTCAGGTTGTTGTGAATGTTTTTCTGTGTTGTAAAAGCCTATTTTGTACCAAGCTATTTATGTTACAACCTAAGTCCACCAGGTGGTGCTATGGTTTATTTCATATGCTACATTCACATTAAAGAACCAAATGTCCGCAGTCCTTAAAGTAGAAATGATATAAAACCGAGATGGATAATAACGTTACCATTGATGGCACTTTGTGACTTTTTGTGCAGGAACGGCTATAAATTTCTTTACTGCTCCGCCCGTGCAATAGGAATGGCAGATATAACCAGAGGATACTTGCACTGGGTTAACGATCGAGGGACTGTATTGCCCAAAGGCCCCTTGCTGCTCGCTCCCAACAGCTTGATTTCGGCTTTACACAGGTGATGATTCTCAGTTTTATTCATTTGTGCAGAGTTACCGACATTCAGCTGTAGCTGTAACGATAACTGTTTTGAGATGCCTTTCTTCATGTCGAGACAAAGAACCACAAACGTTTACAGAAGAAAGATATTCTATATGAAAATGCTTCCAATGCAAGATACTTGTTACTTTTACAGTGTATCGTACAAAAGATCTCCCTTCTGTTTGGCAAATTCACCATTATATGAAGTGTTTTATAACCTGACACTTGAGATGAGGAGACAGGCGCAGGCTTAGCAACACCTTTGTTGATTCAACATTGGTTGCTTCCTTTTCGTGTTGCCAGTCACTATATAAAACTGTAATGGACAACTGAGTTATTTGGTGACAGGTTTGGATCAGCGTCCAAGAGCTGGAAAGATGAGATTAAAATGAGCCAAAGGGCCTTCTTCACTAGAACCTCTCATCTTCAGAACTAGAACAATGATAGAGCCCTTCAGTCAGTAGAGTTTCTCAAATTGGCTGCAAAATACTCCTGAGGGCAAGATCTTTGTGAATAGTGGCCTGTACTACAAGTAATAAAAGTGATGATTCATTTTGCAGTTATTAATATATTATGTATAGTCCATGTATTTTGTTTAAAAATCAAGACCTATGGGAAATTGTTCTGAAGTTAAAATACCTGCTTCCTTCATTTTTGCATTTTATTTCCCTAAAGTTTTCAAATGTATTTTTAATGCCAAAATCAGTAAGGAAATGGAAGAGATATTTGCTTAATAATGCACTTAAAGACAAAAAGCCAAAAGCTTAGTTGCTTTTTCTATGTTCCAGGGAAGTAATTGAGAAGAAGCCGGAATTGTTTAAAATCGAATGTTTGAACGACATTAAAAATCTATTTAATCCACATCGCCGTCCGTTCTATGCTGCTTTTGGAAATAGAACCAACGTAAGTAATAATAATTCTAGCATTTGATACAGCACTTTATCACGTCTTTGAGACGTCTCAAAACGCTTCACAGGATACACTGTAAAATGTAGTGAATCTATATATTATAATAATCCTAGCATTTGATATAGCGCCTTATCACATCTTCTAGACGTCTCAAAGTGCCTCATAGAATGTACTGTAAAGTGAATTGACTGCATTTTGTGAGCGAAACGCAAAATAAAAAGTTAAGTAATTTTTATTTGTTTTAAAAAGGTGGTGTTGGGCATGGGATGAAACGGCTTTGCTATTTAAAGAGGCTTTTAAATCTAGCTTTGCCATTCTTTTTCCTACCCCCCAAACTGCTTGAATCACTGGAGGATGTTTGAGCCACGAGGGTAGAGGAGCAAAGCCCTGGCTGTCAGATTTATATCACTATAGTCACCTCACAGTTAGCTGACTGGTGGCTTGTAGCAATAGGGAACAGACTTTTTTCCCTCAGTACTGCAATGGTAAATGTTGTTCATTGGGTAGTTCACCTGATGATTGACTGACTGAGATTCATCTGTCAATGAATAATATAGGATTTAGCCCTGTATTGTGTTGACTGCTACACAACATTGCCAATCACGGTGGAGAATATTTTTGAGATCTGCTTTGTGAACTGAAACATTGAAGCAAAACTTCTTAAATTTCTTATTGTTGGTGGTTATTTTTCTTCTGTTGCTTTATTGATCCATTACAGGACGCTTATGCATATAAAGAAGTGGGAGTGCAGCAAAGCCGAATCTTCACTGTGAATCCCAAAGGAGAATTAATTCAGGAGCAAACCAAAAGCAACAAGTCATCGTAAGTAGCCGGACTGTCTTAACCCAAAAATTCTTCTTAACTTCACCTGGAGGTGTATTCTACGGTGAGATGCAAATCGACAGAACTGTAATAAGGATATGCAAGTTGGTTGAAACTCTGGAACACTCTTTCTCTGTCTCTCCGTCTTATAGAATCATAGAATATTACAGCACAGAAGGAGGCCATTCGGCCCATCGTGCCTAGCCTGGTCTTTGGAAGAGCTACTCAATCAGTCCCACTGCCCCACTCTTTCCCCATATCCTTGCAATTTTTTCCCTTTTCAAATACATATCCAATATATAAATATATATATGTCTTGCCCCCCCCCCCCCCCCTTCCTCATCTTCAGGTTGCTCCTAAAGACCTTCGACCATGCCTATGGTCACCTCCCCCTGGCTTGGCACTGTGCTCTGCTACTGTCGAGCGCTCTGGGATGCTATCCGGCGCTATGTAAATGCAAGTTGGTTACTGGGACCACAAAACATCTTAACAATGTTCTATTGAGGTTCCCTCAGGCATGTCACAGCCATCCACTAACCTAATACGAGGTTTAACAAACCCAAACAATTAGAAACTCCAGAGTATTTTAACTACAATGGAACCATCGAGCCAAGGACGCAAGAAAATTCCCACCAAAAGAGCCAGTAACTTGCCAGGGGGACCCGTTTCTCTTGTGTATTTGCCGCGTTTTATTTTGAACCTCTGGGTAAAAATATTCTGCCTACGTGTAGCAATTTTGACTGTGCACTTAAAATGGAATTGTTCAATTAATAAATTAATAATAATCCTTGCATTTGATGAAGCGCCTTACCGGCTGAGTAGCGTCCCGGAACACTTGATAGCAGTATGAGGAATTTAACCCCTGCCCTTTCCCCAGGTCTCGTGTCATCTTGTATAATGTTTTTTACATCTCAAGGATGAGATGTACACTAAATACATCTTTGCCCACATAATATACAGTCAATTAACTTTACAGTATATTCTGTGAAGCGATTTGAGACGTCTTGAAGACGTGATAAGCGCTATATCAAATCCAAGGATTATTATTATTAAATACTTCTCCAGACAATCTCAATGCTACAGTATAAAATGAACAATTTTTTTTAAAAAAAATAAAGTATCAGACACCCTTTTCTCTACAGTTCAACTTGCTATGCTCAATATTAGTACCTTGTAACTGTGTTAACAACTTGTTTTCTTTTCCCTCAGGTACCCACGACTGGGTGAGCTGGTGGAACATGTATTTCCACTAATAACACAAGAACGGAGTTCAGCTTTTCTTTATCCGGAGTTCAGCCATTTCGCTTTTTGGAGAGAAACACTTCCTGAGTTAAATCTGGATGAGATCAATGAATTTAAAATAACCAAAGAATAATACTACGCCATTAGCACAGCAGGATCAATGCTGGCATATATCATTGCCTATTCATGTACTACAATAATGCACAATTTTAGATGTGATCTGCAACTTCTGATTAATGTCTAATGGCTTAGAAAATCTATATCTTGGTTAACAGTTATCATACTGGTCACAAGTATTCATTTGAATAAATTCAAGTGGAGTTGAACATTCATTCAATAACTCCCAACAGCTACATACCACTCCAGTAGTGAGTGGATGCAACTTGTCGCTTATATTGTAATTTTTCTATTTATGCCTCTGCCTATATTTGTTCAGTTCAATTCAATCAAGATTAAGACATTTTTCATGCTGATGTAGCTTTTGGAGGAAACATGCCTATGAATATACATCAGATTATTGCTGTCTTGATGTTATTGAGCAGCGGTGGATTCTAGATGAATATAGATTCTGACTAGCAAGTATTTCTGGCTAATACACTGCAATTCTCGTACCTATGGGGAATCCCTTTATTTGTGCAATTTCTGCTGAGAGGATAGATTGGCCAAAAAATCACCCAGCTTGTTGGGTCCAATAATGAAATGATACTACACGCCTCCTTTGTCAAAGGGCTGCAAGTCCTTGTCTACATACCCTTAGATCAAAGTGTAACGAAAGTTATAGAGGCTTTTCTCAGAAAAAGAGATTCTGAGACGGCCTCACTGCCAAATAGTGCCTGTATGGTGGGAAATGGGTAACAGGAAAAAAGCCCTTGGCCAGTCGGAGCAAATGAGAGTCACTGATCACCTGAGAGGAATTCACCCATCCGTTACTCCAGCAGTAATTTGAGATGTTTTTAAGAAGTTTGGTTGTGATTTACTCTCCCTAACTGAATTGGGAATCTGGAGTGAGAGTGACAGAAATCTGGTTGTGGTGGAGGGGAGTGGGGAGAGTTGAAATCAGAGAGTAAGACAATCAGCCAGAGCGGAAGCTGAAGCAGAGGGAGTTTGAGATTTGTTAACAAAAGTGGGAGAGATTGAAACAGATCACGAGAGCGAGCGACATAAAGATATGGAACCGGAGTTGTTGCAGTATTGTAGCACAAAAAAAATAGAGAGAAAAAAAATAACAGATTCCAAACAGCACAAAGGACCAGAAGGAAAAAACACATCAGTCTGTTGCCTTTCAAGCGGCTTGCTGCCCGGAGTCCTGACTGAAGGAAAGGGGCAGTGAGCAGTCAAGGTTAATTTGCACTTGCAAATTTGCAACTTATGCTTGCGTCCATTTGTATTGCTGTAAGGTTCAGCATAATCAAAGATACTTTTGTTTATCTTGACTTTTCTAAAGTTTATAGCTGCAGATGGGATGGATACTAGTAATTCAACTGTTTGTTGATTTAGCTCCTATTTGCTACTATAAAAGGTGTACTTTATTCACCATAAGAAAAAATGGTTGAAGGAACGTTTTTCTGACAATTTTGACTCCAGAATCAAAATTCTGGAATTTTTACAACACATGCTCTGATACTGAAATGTAGTGAAGTTCCATCAGAATATTCCTGTAGTGTAAATCAGTATTTAGTCTTTAAACATGGCTGCCCACGTCAAAGATTGTACACAGGAGAACACTACAACTTTTAATAAATGTGCTGGACCACATCACAGTCTGTGAGTTTAATGGTGTGAATGGATTGTGATCCCAGCCCCCGAAAAACCTTACAACAGAAATGCCACAGAGAGATCTGGAACTGTCGGGTAGTTTCGAGTTAACCAGCATGTGGCTCCCAATAAGAAGGCTTGTTGCACAATGAAGTAAGTCTTTCAGTTCCCAAACTCAAATTGGGTGACTTGCCCATTCTGCAAGAAACTGCTGGTCGGAGGATTTTGTGAAACTGCGCTTGATCTTAAGCTGAAGAGCCAGAATCCTGCCTTCTCTTGCGCTCCGGGACACTACCCCACATGAAGGGCGCTATGTAAATGCAAGTTGTTGGTTGACAGCTGGCATTTGTCAGAGATGCTGCAACTTACTTCCAAACGTTGTTGGGAGGGAAGCAGGGCAATGTAGTGAGAAGCCTTTTAAGGAGGTTAGAGAGTAAATCTCAAAACGAGAACAATTTGTTATTTTAGAGCAGGTTCTAACAATTAATGCACTTTCTGTGATGTGCCACTATAACTGCAACAGTGACAAAAAAAAGTTGTCATTTTGGTCTATTTGTAGAAATAATATTTTTTAACATTCAACAACTACAAATTGGTTACTAATGAAGCAAAGTATTTGAAATGAACTTTCGTTCTTTCATAACTGATGCTTCCATCAAATTGGACCTTTCAAGCTCACTTGTTCATTTCTAAATGGTGTTACTTTGTGAAATGAGTTTTTTTTTTAAGGATTGAGCTTTTTGGGATAAAGCAAATGATTGTTTCACATAGTCCTGCTTTGGATTACAGTCAAAACGCAATGCTAGTGTAGAACCCATTGCTTACAAATAAGAACCGTCTTTATTGACTAAGTTTTTGGCTTCTACACGGTGGTGTACTGTAAAATATTTATTAAATAGTAGAAGTTCTGATCTGTTGAGATGTTTTTGGGTTATGCTGATTGAATTAGACCCTAAAATGCTATGTAACCTACAGAATTCTCAATTTTCAGATTTATTAAAAGGGCATTTAATAAGTGATCTATGGAAGACTGTTTTTCTATTGAGTGCATTTTAATAAAAAAATGTCTTGCATGCAAATCTAAAGAGTTATTCTTCCGAGAAACTATTATAAATTGAAAAAAGTAACAGAATTCTTTAATGTAGTTAATTACAGAACTGAACTTCTTATTTATATATTTGCCCAAGTAATTGCATATCAAAAGTTGCTGTTGAAGAATGTTAAACATAATTTGGAGTAATTAAAAAAGATTTGAACTTAAATTATGGACATGCATAATTTATTTTTGCCATTTTCTAAAAGGCGATCAGAAAATGATTAATTTCACTTCTGGTGGAAAAAATCATTTAAGCATTTATTTTGTTTGCTTTAAATCTTTTGTTTATTTTTTGTTTTGCGGTTCAACATTTCGAATCGTATGCAGAATTTTAGCAGTATGTATTTGTTGGTGCTGAAACAGATTACTTCAATTGTTTTCCTGTTTGGCCAGAATAATAATCCTTGCATTTTGATATAGCGCTTTATCACACCCTCGAGATGTCTCAAAGTGCTTCACAGAATATACTGTAAAGTGAATTCACTGTATTTTGTGGACGAAACGATGATTGTCATCAAGGGTTGAAGTTACTGCTAGCTCAGTAAACTCCCAATATTTCAGACATTAAGGTTGATATTAAGTTGTTCGAGTGAGTCAAAGTAAGTTTTTTTTTGTGTGTTGTTATCCTTAAGTGGTGGAGTACCACAGAAGAATTTAGATTGCCCTTCTTGTTGGCAAAGTTATCTTCANTTTTTTGATGTTAATGCTTCATTTACCTTGCTCACGTCTTTGTATTAAGCACTCTACCTGCGAGATGCCTCTTCTGCAAAGAACTGGGATTTGTTTTGTTGTTGCAACAACAACTTACATTTGTATAGCGCCTTTCACGTTGGGACGATGTCCCAAGGTCCTGGACAGTCAAGGTTTTGTACACGAGCTGGGGGATAGGAGCAGGAGGGGTGCAGGGCCGAGAGGGTGCGGTCTACGAGGAAGGAGCGGTCGAAGAATAAGGTCTTGAGACTGGTTTTGAATGAGGCAAGGGAGGGTGTACAGCACTGCTTGAATAGAGGAAGATTCAGATACATTTACTGCATAAATATAGACCATTCACTAGCTTTTGTATGTTATAATTGTTCCTCTGCTCAGTGGCCAAATTGTAACTCCTACTCCAGTCTCCTCTACAACATTGGAAGATGTGCTTTACAAACTGCAACACAGTCTCATCATAATTTCAAACAATCTGTTTATTGCAAACATTAAATTAAACTGTAGAAAATGGGTATTTAATTTACAGAAAATAGCACCATAACTTGCATGTTCACAAAGTTTAGTTCCGTATGTTCAAAGAGGTACACTAATATACAAAACAGGAGGACTTCAAGTTCATATGTATATTGAACATTTCTTTTCAGCATCAGTTTTAAAACATGAGCGTATTGCAATGTAACCCTACCATTCGTTTTAACTTGAAGATGAACAATTGTATTTTCAAAAAAAAAGGAAATTACTGCAGATTTCCTGGCAGTCTGATATTTTATATTGCAGAACTGTAACCTTACCCCAAATACAGGCACTTGGTTTAAAAATATGGCAGAACACATTTACCTGTTAAACCATTTCCTTTTGTTGCATGTGAAATATTTCTCTCAATGCAGCTATTTTCAGTTAAATAGACTCGCCCACAAAGCAAATTGTGTGCTTTCACAAACATTCATCGAATCTTAAAACCAATAAGTATTGTAAAATCTTTTATTTTTAGGTTTAGTTCCCTTTGCAGAACCATTAGTCAGTTCTACAGATGTAATAAAAACTACCGTGGTTTAGAGAAATGTTTTGCCGGTCGGGACAAAAAATATTTCTAGATCCAGATTGTAAAATATTCTGAAGACATAGTGAGGATTTGGTAACGAGTTCAAAAATGTATGAAGACTGTCATTTTTGACTAAATGCTGAGCATCATCTCATTGCAAGATTATAGATAACTAACCCAGAATCCATAGTTAGCTAACTAAGCTGAGTTTTCCTAACTATAGAAAACAATAACATACATACACAAACTGAGCAAAGTTCCCTTGCCTCAGTGTGATTGACGTAGGCTGGGGCTAAGACATGGGAGGTCCTTGCTATTCATCTCTATACAGATGCTGCCCGAATCTTTGGATATTGAAGCAAACCAAAAAGATTGTTGAAATATATTTGCCTACATAACGTAGGTTTGCATACATAAGTTTCACATGAATGCGCAAGTTGTCTAACCCAGGATTTTGGTTGAAAGTCAAAGTTTAGAAATTAATAGGTTTACAGAAAATAGTTCATTGAAAGTACATTTTTTAAAAAAAATCGCATTCATGTGGCATTTATAAATCACCTGAGTTTGCGTTTTTGCGATTCTGAATTCCGAATAACAATTATTTTGGATCAAGTTCCCGTGTCAGCTTTGTTTAACTAAATTAAGTAGTAACAGCTTAAGTCCTGATAAACATAAGAGAACAGGCCAGTTTGCAACAGATAGATATTTCCGCTGGAACTAAGACAGTTCAGATTTGTCCAAAGTTTGCATTAACCTAAGTGGTTGATGCTGTTCAGTATCAGCTGCATTATGTTCTAATAATGAAGCATTTTAACATAGCTTATTTTTTTATCTGGTGATTACATTAGGTGCTGACCTGAACTCATCTACGAGTTTATTAAAAAAAACAGACTTTTAACCCTTTGAGTACTGAGATTTTCAGCTTTCAAAATGTGCACCTTTGTGTGAGCTATATAAGACTGCTCGGAAGTTATATAATGAAATTAGATATACTGTATGTACAAAAGCCGAAGAACCTTTTTTTAAAATTCAAAATAGTGAATAAAAAATATAATCTTGTTTGTTGCAGAAATATTAAAGTAATTCTCAAAGGGTTAATTAGAAAATATAAAATGCTAACCTAGAACCCTCGTCTTTTTGTAGGTGTGACAGTCTTTGATTTGAATAAACGGCAAAATCCATTTAAAGTTTTGGTGTTCAGTGGTCATAGTTTTAAACAAAAAAAAACACAATGTGGATTGACAGTGACCCTTTTTTTGGCTCCGCTAACTAATGAACGGAACGTTTGTTCGAAAGGGAAATTAATATTTTCCAGTTCACCGTTGAGACCTGCAGAGAAAAAACATCAGACGGAATCCAGTTCACTTGGTTACTGGCCACTCGCAAATTGCCTGTCACGTTCGTCAACTGTGCACGAGCGACTGGTGCAGCAGGACTCCGCTGAACGTGGAGTATAGCTCCTCGGTCTCCGCGTAAGCCAGGCTCCCCGACGTGACCACCACGCTCACTTCATCGCCCGCGCGCAGACGGAGGATTAGGCTGAAGACGGCCGGGCCGCCTCCAGGATGATGTTCGATTCTGTCCATCCCAATCTCCAGCAGTTCAGTCCTGTAGCCAGCCGTATCCACCTGCGCGATGCTCACGTTGGACACCGTCAGCACAGCCTCGATCCGTTCATTCCTCTGTGGGGTCAGCACTGAGGTAATAAGATACTGCCCGCTGTAAGGAACCGTGAAGATTCCTAGAAACGAAAGCGGTAGAAATTATGTAATTGCGTTTTTTTAAATTTGGTTTTTATACCTTGCAGTCGAGGAGATTCATCAATTTGTAATTATAATAGTGTTCATACAATTTGAAACATGGCAATTTTAAATGCATGAATTTCTGACATTTTAACAGGTTTTTTGCACTTTATACAATATGCAAACGGTATAAATAAATCACAATGTTGATATGTTTATAAAATTGTAAATATTGTTTGGGCACAAAGTTTTGAACTCAAAACGAGAAAATAATGCATTTAGTGTGTGAAAATGCAGTTTCATCTTTTTTAAAAAAAAGATTCGCTTCAATATACTGTCCCGCAGACTGATAGGAATATGGGTCTGAAAGTAAACTTTCCTGATAATGGCACATTTGCGTGTAAGTTAAAAAAAAATCTGAGGGTAATTGTTGCTGAGCTGCTTTTATGCATTTGTTTGCAGCTAATGCGTAGGACTGACTGCCTGTTGCTTTGGTTGGAGAATGATGTATAGCGCAGAATACATGAATGAAGGAAAGGGGAGAAAATGCAGAAAGGGCATTTGGTGTAAATTTAAGTCAGCTGTGTGAAGTTGAATACAAGTGTTGTGCAATATATAGTGTACAATAGTTTTGCCTGTTTGAATTACAATGCAACTACTGCTTACATATGACCCTAAGACCATATCTTACCTGTGCGTGCTTCGTAGTGACCTCCCTCATTGATCAGAATTTTGTTGAATCTTACGACTCCAATATCGGCAGCGGGAGGCTTTTCAGTCAGACCCGCAGAAAAGGCAACTTGCTTTACAAAGGCTCCGTTTTCTGGAAATTAAAACACTTCTTGTAAAACAATTTACGCATTTACATAGTGGAAAAAAAACTTGGAACAAGTTCAATGTACTGTACTGGTTTAATTGAAAATCCACATGAAGGCCAATGACATAATTCACTACTAAATACTGATAGCTGTGCTCAATAATATAAAGCATGCAGGCATATTGAATCTATTTAGTGAAGGCAGTCATGGGATAAATAAAAGCTGCTGATTTTTATCAGGGAGGGGAGGGAAAAAATCTGGCCAGATGACTGTTGCCAGCACAGGAAGCCTCTTTGATTGAAAGAATCTGTTCTATTGCACTTCAACTTTTTTTTGGAAAGTTATGCTTTCCCTAATTGAATGTAAACCCAAACTGAAATACAAATGACCTTAATTACCATGGGATGCCCTTCACCTTTTACATCTGAGGTTGAAATAATGCAATTTAAAGTGGACTTGTAACTAATGACCTGGGCCCATAGAAAGATGCGGCCGCAATTTTTCCGTGGAATCCGCTATAAACAGTGCCCTCCGCTAAAACAAATGTCTGCACCTCTGCCGGTTGTTTACCTGATGCTACTGTGTGTCTCTCTCCTCTCTATGTGTGTGCAAGTTGTGAGTGTCTCCGGTCTCTGTGAATGTGTCTGTGTGTGTCTCTCTCTCTCTCTCCTGTCTGTATGTGTATCTCTCTCCTCTGTTTGTATGTGTGTGCGTCTGCGTCTGAGTGTATGTCTGTGAGTGTGCGTCAGTCTGTGTTTGTGAATGTGTGTGTCCTGTGAGTGAGTGTGGGTGTGTGTGTGTCTCTGTGAGTTGTGTGAGTGTCTGTATGTATGTGTGTGTCTCTTTCTGTGAGTGTGTGTGTGTCTCTCGCTGTCTCTGTGTGTGTCTGTGTGTGCATCTCTGTGTGTGTTTGTGTGTGCATCTGTGTGTGTGTCTCTCTCTCTCTCTCTCTGTTTGTGTGTGCATCTCTGTGTGTGTCGCTCTCTCTGTGTTTGTGTGAATTTCTTTCTGTGTGTGTGTGTCTCTTCTCTGTCCCTCTCTGAGTGTCTGTGTGTGGTGGCGGGCTGAGAGGCAGGAAGTGGACACTAGCGAGCTGGGCGAGCAATGTTTTTTTGGCGGATCTCCAGCCCCTTTGGGCTTGCGTTGGTGTCAACTCCCACCCCATCCCCCACCTCCCAAATGGGCCATCCAGTTTTTGTTAAATAAAAAAAATTAATCATTTTTGTAGCAATCTAATATGTGTTATTTCTTCTTGTTTTTATCAACAAAGTGAAAAAGTGTAAGTTGGCAGTCAAATGTACCTCAATAGCACCAATTAACTCCCTGCAATTTTCTGCAAAATTTGTAAAATTTCCCAGCAATTTTCCGTAAAGGGCATCAAAACTCTTCGCAAATATTTCCGCACTTTTCTATTGGCGCTGGTAATGGCTCATTTCTATATAGCTCAAAGTAAATATAATAACAATAATAATAATCCTTGCATTTGATATAGCGTTTTTCAAGTCTTTGAGACGTCTCAAAGCGCTTCATAGAATAAACTGTAAAGTGAATTGACACTATATTCGTCGCTGAAACGTGGCAGCCAATTGCGCACAGCAGTGTCCCACAAACAGTCGTGGATTGAGTGAACAAATTTTTTTTTCAAGGATTATTATCCCCAGAAAAGCTTTTTTTATTTTAAAAACACATTTTTTTAAATGTTTAAATGTTACATTTTAGAAAAAAATGACAAAAATGTTTAAAATTGTTTTAAATGTTCCGATTCTTGGGAGCTAAAGATATAGAACGAATGCTGCCTAAAGCATGATTGACGTTGGTTTGCTTAGCAATGACAAATGGGCTTTATCGTTTCTTTTTGCTTGTTTTTCTCCATCTGTCCACACTGTCAAGTACCCAGTGCCATTGAAGAGGCTTGTGGGCAGGTGTTGCAAAACTGCCGCATTTAGTAACCTGTTCAATATTTTTTAACAACTTGTTTATTTGGCACTTTCATTATTAACAAGAATGTAAATGTTGTCAATGGTGGGGTGTAGGTGTTTTACTAAGTGCTCGTAGCGTTGCTTGATTTGGATCCTTTCATGTTTTTCAGGAAGTGTGATGTTTTATTGTGTGATATTTTTATTGCTTTGTGATATTTTATTGTCAGAGTAAATTTCACCATCGATTCTCACAAAGTCCACGCAAACTCTTTACACCTGATGGTCCCGGAGGGCCAATGGGTTCTTAAAGACCCAACGTTTAAAACAAAACAATTTGACTACGATTCTGCCACAAGACTGATGGAATCATTGGATTTCTGCCATTTCAATGAGTTGGTTTTCAATGCAATCCCTTTTGTGTTTATTCTGGTGTTTCTCATTTGCTGAGGTTTTCCCTTCTCCAGATAGGATGGAAAGTATTTATTTATTTCAATGTAGCAAAACAAAGTTAAAACATTTTGGGACTCGCAAATTCAACAGTTAGCTTCGGTGCCTCTGGGTTGAGAGTAGAGTAAGAGTGCATCTGTGGAAATTGACCATTGAAGGATTATGGATTATGGCGATGCACAAAGTTGGGGCTTGCACATGAATGACCAGTGAGCTACAGGATGGCAACATTCAGCAGAGGAAAGTAGAAGAGAAAATTTGAAGTGAAAGGACAGGTAAGGGGGAAAAAAAAGTAAAATATTTAACTAAATATAAACGAACTTACCTGGTGACACAGGAAGTAAGTGTGAACGATCTGTAAGAGGTGCCCCATGGGCAGCGAGCAGTTGTGATGAACTTGTTTTTCCTTTAATGAAAAAAAATTAATTTGAGATTGTGATAAAATAATCTTGCATTTCATATAGCTCCTTATGTCACTGAAATGCCTCAAAGGCTGTCACAGGGTTTTTACAGTGAAATCCAGTGATTGTACACTGGCAACCAATTTGCTAATACTTATGCTAGCCAACAACAACTTGCATTTATATAGCACCCTTTATGGTATATAACCTTGGCGGAGCCCAATGCTGAGCCAGGGGTGGGGGAAGGTGACCGTAGGTAGGCATGGTCAAAAAGGAAGGTCTTCAAGCGCAACCTGAAATTGGGGAGAGAGGGGGCAAGGTGAAGGGATTGAGGGAGAGAGTTCAACAGCTTTGGGGCGTAGTGGCTGAAAGCCACCCTGTCAGGTGCAGTTCTAGATAGTACGCCTTAAACATTTAACAATCTTCTAATTGAAATCTGAAATTTGATGGAAGTACTACATTAAATTGAAAAAAACAGGTAAGTACAGGGGCCTGGGCGGTGGGATTGAATGGACAGCGTGCTATGAAAACAAAAATTCAACAAACAAACAACAAGAATTACATTTTAAAACCCCTTTCAGTGTTTTGGGCCCGAGCTGGGGGTCCGGATTGGGGAGGGTGGAGGGCAGGGTGGGAAGGAGGGTGATCGAACGCACAGTTGAAGAGGAGGGTCTTGAAATGTGTCTTGGAGGGGGCAGGGTGGTGGGACTGTGGGATGGAGTTCCAGAGGGTGGGGGCAGAGTGGCTGAAGGCCCGTCCGTCAATTGTGGGGTGGGCGATGCAGGGGATGGGAAGCAGGCTGGAGCGCGCTGAGTGGAGGGAGCGGGCAGGTTCGTAGGGAGTTAGGAGGTTGCAGAGGTAGAAGAAAGCAAGACTATGGAGGGCTTTGAAAGTGAGGACCAGATCTTGAACTGTATCCTCTGTGTGATGGGAAGCCAGTGGAGTCAGGTGAGGATGGGGGTGATAGAGTCGCGGAGCCTGGTGAGGGAGAGAACATGGACTGCAGAGTTCTGGATGATCTGTTTCAGAAGAAATGCCATGTACAAAGCTATCCGCAGGATTTTAATTACCTGCATCTGAAAGCAAGGCATTTGTTTCAGACGTAAGAAAGACATTTAGCTTTGGATTAAAAATCCATTTTCCTCATTAAATGAGTTTCCTACAGAAAGCCAACTACCAATTAAGCAAAATGCATAGCAAAGGTCTGGTATAATTATGCTTGGCCATGCTTACGTTCATAATTACTGCACAAAACAAGACCCAGTGTGCTGCTTGCAACTGTGCGTGACGTGACGTCTGTTGTGAATAATGTTTTGCTACGAAAACCAACCGGAGTAAAGCCCTTTCTTGTAATACCCTAAAAAGGTACCAACCTTTTCCGAAATTGCCGATGAGGTCATTTCCAAAACACTAGCGTTTTCAAAGTGCATATTGTTTATCAGAAAAAGCTGCCTGAAACCCTAAAGTCTTTACATGAAGCATTGACTATTCGGGCTTTAAGAACAACTTGTCCACAAGAAACTCAGTGTGCCAAGTCATTGAGAGAGGTTGAATATTTTCCCCTCTTCTGTGTTCTCTTCACCCACCCCCACACCATACGGATCATTCAGAGGGTAAAATATCATCTCAACCCCAAATCCATTATGCAGCTGTAATCTTCCAGAAGATTATAATAATAATAATAATAATAATAATCCTTGCATTTGATATAGCGCTTTTCACGTCAGGAGGACGTCCCAAAGCGCTTCACAGAACACACTGTAAAGTGAATTGACTATATATTTGTGGGCAAACGCGGCAGCCAATTGCGCACAGCAATGTCCCACAAACAGTCGTAGATTGAAAATGACCAATTTATTATTGTTTTGTTTTTTGGAGGGATTATTATTAGGCGTGTGGAGTAAGGAAACTTGCCCAAGGTTTCGCCCTGTCTGGAATTGAACTCAGGTCTCTCACTTGCAAAGCGAGTGCTCTAACCACTGAGCTGCAGGACTCCAATGTATTCCTAAGTATAGAAATAATTTTCTTTTAAATGAAAGAGAAGTTATTTCCCACAAAGTGTTCATTCCATTTCCTGTGGAAATCTTTAAAACCTCTTTATATTGTACGTACATTGTTCAATGGCCTGTAGTAAAGTATTGCGCACATGCTCATCTGCCGAGAAAGCATCTCCCTCTACAGTGGCAATGTCGATTAAAAGCAGAGCTTGAAGTGGGCAGGGGACCAGCAACTTATTTAGATGGAATCTGAGATCCGGAGCTTGTTTTTCAGTGGAAATTAAAGATTGCATCTGAAGATTGCTGACCAAGACAACCGCAGAGGAAATATTTCAATTCCAACCCTGGTAGAAGCATTTTGTTGTCCTATTGTTTCTTCAATGACACCATTATATGCACAGTGCAAATGATGTCAAATAAAAAGTTTATAAAACAAAGACGCCGCAGGCTCAAATAAAAATAATTTTTTTTTTAAAAAAAAGACATTTTTGAAAGGAAATAATTAAGTTTAAGGAACCAGCCGAATACTGGAAGTATTTGGGAGGGAGACACCCGACTGAGATTTTATTTCCATTCATTTTATGGCACTTCTTAAAACTTTCTACTATATTTTCACCAACGGGTTACTCGTAAATACTGTTTTTGTTGTTTTCCATAGAGCTGGAGGGAGGAGAGAATGATCGAGATGCAATGCTGTTAATTCTTTATTCTATCGAGGTATGGATTTTTATTTTCTACTACACCCACTGCGTTCACTTATATCATTTATTTCCCGAACAAGGTAAGATATTATCCCATTGGACTTTCCTGTGCAAACCACTGATGGGGAGTTGCTAAATTGGTCTGGCCACATCCCAGCATGTAAGGAAATCCTGGGCTTGTTCTGCATTTCTGCCGAGATGTACGGACTAGAATTGCAAGGCTTTGGGTTAAGAGAGGGGGGAATGGGACTAATTGGATAGCTCTTTCAACGAACCGGCACAGGTACCATGCTCTGAGTGGCCTCCTTCTTTGCTGTAAGATTCTATGATTCTAAGTCTGATCTGTATACATCACATAATCGCCTAACTCATGCATATATATGCCCAACTCCCGTTCAAGAGTTTATATTCTATGCAAGTTTGAAATAACTCATGGTTTGTATAAGTGGTATTAAATGTATGGTCTCAACTGGTACGACTTATGTGAGATTTACTGTATATCGTTTCATCAGGAGCCTCCTGGTCATTCATCTCTTCAGTGCAGATTTCCAGTATTTAACGTGAACAATAACTACTGGAAAAGATCATGTCGACTTTTTTCCCCCCCTTACACTAACGAGTTAACTATTCTGAAGCGTTTGACGCAGAACTGCTATAATTTGGTGCCTGTAACAAAGCCTATTTTCGTGCTTTAAACCACGTCAAAATATCCCTTGGTGTCCTCTGGTGAGGTGAACAATTTTGGGCCATGTTACATTTCTAGCTGAAAAAAAACATGTCAGATTTTCCTTCTGTGAAGCAAACTGCATTCCAAGTGATTGCAGTGATTGGAGTCTTCTGTCGAGACTCAACTCGCTCCCATAAATGAAATTTAAATCTAGTCTGACACTTGTTTCAGATGTAACAAGCACTCCACAAAAGTGACAATTTGGTGCTTAATTTAACAATAATGTTATGGCCGCTGGTGAATGCATGAAATAATTCATCGCAATTTAGCATGCGGTAATGGGGCCTTTGATAGTTTAATGCCATCATTTCAATCGTTTTCTGAAAGCAATTATGTCGCATTGATGGTAATGAGTGAATTCCGAGTTGGCGTGACCCCAGCAATCACATTATGTGCAGGAAATGAAAGGAGTAAAAGTAAAATGTTAACATGGGACAAACATCACAAGAAGTCACATTCTCTACTGATAGGTATTTGAAGAAAAATGCTGCCTGGACAATGTACAATTATGTTGTATTCATTTCCCCCAATTACAGTTAAGTCAGTAATTTATTGGCATCCAATATTGGATTATATGAATTATATTGGATTATAAATTATGCATCTGAGCTTGATGCTGTTGATGGGGTGTTCTGTAAGGATGAGATCAACAACAACTTGCATTTATATATTTATATATTTATATCCTCACGCAGGATGGCGTCCCAGAGGGCTTGACAGTGGCACAGCACGACGTGTCCGATCTCAAGAAAGATCAGATGGGCTGAAGGGCTTACCTCATCCAGGGTGTGTCTGCTACCATTTTATTATAGTTTGTGTACACTGGTTATTAAGTTTAGAATGTGGGTCGAAAGAGGGGAAGGGGAGGGGGTGTTGAGCTGCTGTTGACTATGATTTTCTGCATCTGCGCAGAGACCAAACTGAAAGCCTAATTGAGAAAAACTATTTTAATAAATTCCCTGTGTGCAAATATTGATTCTGTATTTCCCCGAGATAGCATTCACGTGCATTTACTGCAAGTCGGAGACTAAAGTGTCCTTTAAACCTCCAGTGGGCAATGCCCTGACAGTCTTGGCCACCTGACCTGCCACTTCTCCAGGTGCCCTGACCTAAGATAAAAACGTCTTTGTCCCACATCACACAGGATCACTTTGACTATCAAGCCAAGGCAAACATCCGCATGAAATTAACAGGCCAGACTGGAGGCCACTTCTGCATTCAAAGAATTCCTCTGAAAGAATCCAGCCAAGAAAACCCTTAACTTTTACTCAGAAGCACATGGGTCAAGCTGACTCATTCAGTAGCGCTCTCAACTTTGAGTTGTGGCTTGAAGTCCTACATCAGAACTTTGAACTCACATAGTCTAGGCTGACACTTCAATGTAATGCTCGCCTACAAAATGAACAGTCACAACTCTTTACGACCAACTCTGTGAAACTCTTTGAGACTTCCTCCCAACATGAATAGTATGATACTGAGCGCAAGTTGTTGTTGTTTCACTCAATGGGTTAATAACAATGTGGAATATGATTTCCAAAATCTATCCTGTGGGTGATTTTGATGAGTGCACAGTATTAGTGGTACTTACCATCTAATGCCCCTTGTTCATGGTCATCTGTAATCTTGGACTTGTCTTTTAGGCCAATGATTTCTTGAGTGTGTGCCATGAGAGTTTCGTTCATCTGTTCTAAGTAATTCCATACGTCGCCGACATGTTTATCCAGTCCGTCCTTGATAAAATCCAGGCTGCCCGACACTGCGCTTAGCTTGCTGCATAGGCTCTGCATCTCAGAGACTCGCTTGTCGACTTGGGACACTTCCATCTGGATGTCGTGGGCATTGTGTTTGCAGTTCTGGAGATCGGAAATAATCCTGCTGTTAATCCGTTGCAGGTCTCCCTTGAGATCTCGCACGCGTTTGTCATTAAACATGAGCTGGGAGCCTTGGTTGTTCACCAGCCTTTGTATCAAATGGACTTCGTCTGTCAACTTGCGCTCGTGATCCTCCCAGGTGGAATTGGCAGCCACCACCTCATCAGCGTATTTGTTGACGGAATCTTTCAGTCCTTTCAATGATCTATTAACAGAGTGGATGTTGATCTTCAGCAAGGTGATTTCTCCCTGCACCGCGCTTGAATCTTCTTCCTCGGTAATTCTTCGGTGTATTTCGTACATGGAGCTGTTCAGTGTCTTAAGGAGACCGGAATTCTTGTCCAGTTTGGTCACAAGATCCTCATAATGTTTTCGGCAGTTGTCAAGGTCTGTTTGAAGTGTGTCGATGCTGTCAGTCACTGAGCTACAACCTGCGGAACAGAGATTCTCCAAAGCAAGTAGCCTCCCCTCCAGATGGCCCAGGCCCTCGTTGGCTTGATTTCTGATCGTCATAAGCTCAGTTTCCAGCATTGGGATCACCTCTCCATCTATGGTTGCTGGAACAGTGGCATTGCTGAGCTCCTCCACAATAATTGTAAACTTGTCCTCCAAGGTCTTCATCTTATTGTACAGCAGGGTTTTAATACCGTCCATCTCGGTGCCAAAAATACCCCTCATGTTATCTTCTATGTGTAAACAGTTTTCCTCCACAATCCTCTCTGTTTGGTTGATTTTAGTTTCAATATCCTCCAGCCTGCTATCATACACATTTTCTACCTGGATATTGGCAAACTGGGGAAGTTCGCTGTCAAACCTGGTAGTTAATGTCCTTTGGTAGTCTGAGATTCCATGGAGGTTCTTTTCCAGGCCATTGATTCTCTCCGAGAGGTAGTTTACAGTGTCGCAACAATCTCCAGACAGAGTTAATCCCTCGATTTGAGTTTGCAGATTACTGAGATCCTTTTTCAGATTGGTTTCTTTGCCGTCCAATGTCTCTTCGAGTCTTTGGTTGGTGTTCTTCTGCTCTTCGCACTGCTGCTGGATCAGCTGTACCTTGTAATCGCAGATGTTCTGAACATCCGTAAGTTTGTTCTCAAAGCCGTCGAGTAGGTCGGCCCTCAATTTGGTGAGTTTAGTTTCTATGTAATCATCCAGAAGATCTACTGTTGCCAAAGGTGAAGGTATCTTAGTCTCCAGGAGCTGCCTGAGTTGACCATTGTGGTCAATAACCATCCCATGTACTTCATCCAGCAAATCGCTCTTTGTTTTCAAGACCTCTTTAACTTCAGTGACTTTGGCCATAAGATCCCCCATTGCCGGTGGATATGTTACTTCTCCTTTTCCAATGCTCTCCAGGCCATGGGATATATATCCAAAGCCCACTGCACCATCAGGGTATTTGAGATTGTTCAATAAGGATACAATCATTTTGTTGGTGTCTTCCTGAATTGACAGCCTGAGACTGTCACTGATGCCACTCACCATGGACTGGAGTCTCTCAAACGATTGTGACAGACGACGCATTTCATCCTCCACTCGGTCTATTCGTTCACCATGTAGATCTGGAGCTTTGGGACCTAGGAATGAGAGAGAGAGAGAGAGAAAAACAAAAGTGAATTACAGAAGCAGTAAATTCATTGTTCAGGCAAAATTGGAAGTGGGAATCAATACAGCTATCGAAAAATTACCTACAGTTTATTTTGTATTTACTTTCTGCAAGGAGTTGTGTTCCATCTCAGAAAGATTGTCTCCTACAGTAACTAAGATCAAGTGGCATTTATATTTTTAAATGAGATAAATTAGTAAAGCTGTTGCAAATACTTTAAAAGGTTTGCTGCATATGAGAATTAGGACCTCGCAAACAGAAAATCAGTATGTCTGTTCCAACAGGAAAGGTTTTTTTTTTAACTCTGAAAGAATTCCCCGTGACAGCATAATCTGGCAATCGTGAGCTTCTCTCTTACACTCAATAGATTTAATCAGACATTTGGAATTATGTTTCTCATTAGTTGATTGAAAATTGAAATTTAAAGCATGCAGGAAGATAACTCTGGCAGCGAGATTGTGGAAATGTGGTTCAGCTATTGCTCAGTAAATGTTTCAGAAAAGCATATGACCTTCATTGCCCCAATATATTATTGATTGAAGTTTTGCCTGCCTTTTGTTCGGTGGTTAAACATTCACAACCAAGTGGCAGCATGACTAAATACATTAACAAGCAAATGCACGTTTCCATGAAAGAGCACAAAAACACAGATTGTTGCAGTATAAACTAACGTTTAACTCAATTCTGAAGAAAACACATTTCCTTTGTTACTTTCTATTATATTTGTTCCATTGACTCCACCCCGATAGTGGGTAGCTCCCCTCTCGGGAATTACCTCCTTTAGCCCTTTTCTGAACAAGATATCCTATAGAATTTATCTGAAAAGAATTGGACTTCAGAATATCTCTCTATGCACGATATTTTTAAAATAAACCTTTGGGTTCAAGCCCCACATCGGTACTTTGAGCTCACAGTTCTATGCACTGCTGGGGGTGTGCTTCATTGTTGTTGCATGTGCCAACCTTTGGATGAGGCGTTAAATCGAGGTCCCATCTGCCTGTTAAGATGGGGCTAAAAGATCTCTCAGTGTTCTGGCCAACAATCCCCCAGATAAAATCGATCATGGCTTTTTGTCGGACATTGCTGTGCGCAAATTGGTGGCTGCATTGCCTACAAATAATACACAATTTACTACACTTCACAGTCAAACCCCGTAAAGCACTTTGAGACATCTCGACAACATGATGAAGAGTTATATCAACGATTACTATTGTATTGATTTTCATTTCAAAGCACAACTGTTGTGAGAGAACTTCGAATACTGTCACGTTTATCCCACCTCCCGTGCCAACATTCAATGCATTGAAAGAGCCAAATCGCAGATGTTTTTAATAGGTTTACCACATTGCTTGGCTTCAAAAATTAATCCAGGTTCACCAAAACCTTCTAGTTTACAGGAAGAGCCTCAATTATTCTTGCCACTTGTCTCATTTCAAATCACCGCAGCAACGAGCAGACTGTTCTTAAAGATTAGAGCTTGCTTTGGAATTAAACCCGCTCTTAACACACGTGTATGGAAAGGAAAAAAAAAGTTGCCGACTGAAACTCAAACTTACCAAAGTAACCTTTCCTGGGACCAGGATGTGATGGTATAAGTTCAGGCAGCCCTGTGGGACCTTCTTGGCAAGCTTCACCAGAAAATCCTGGACAGCATCTCCACTCTAACTCTGTGACAGTCTTGTATCCAATTTTATATTTTGGTTTGAAAAAGGTTCGATACCTGTGTAAAGAAATGATGTTCGTTTTTTTTTCCCCCCTCAGTGAATGTTCATTTCCCGACCTTCAAAAGTACTTAGATGTGAGCCAATGGACGCATTGCTACAATGCAAACATGAAGGACAAAAACTGCTTATGAATGCACTCCCTTTCACCTCGTCAAAGTGAAAGTCCATCTAAAATGATTCACGCAAATGTCAATGTCTGATACTGAATTGGGAACCTATTATTCGGTGTCATTGCATCCGTTCAATTCTGTTCATAACAAGGGTAGCGGTGGCAGTGTACAAGCCTATCCTAACCTGAAATAACCATAAAACCAAATCAAATACATTTACTGTTCACAACATGGGCTTTTGTGTAATAAGCTTTGTGAGCTAATTGAGTGTTTTAGTCAATAGATTTGGATTGCGCAATTGTCTGCTGTGTTTCGCCCACAAAACATACAGTCAATTCACTTTATAGTATATTCTGTTAAGTGCTTTGAGACATCTCGAAGACGTGATAAGGTGCTATATCAAATGCAAGGATTATTATTAAATACTTCTCCAGACAATCCCTATGCTACAGTATAAAATGCACAATTTAAGTATTTTTTAAAAATAAATTATCAGTCACCCTTTCCTCTACAGTTCAACTTAGTTTACTGATTTTCAAAAAGGTTTTCACAGATCCTTTCCCCTCTCCCTTGCTCGGCATTCAAACCTGTCATTGTGAAGGCCTTCTGCATAAATGCAATTTGTCACTGTTGTAAAGCTTCCTTTTTTTTGGACATGCAAAGGAGACTTTGACACCGCAACTGAAGTAAGAATATCTTATCCAAGTGTCCTCTATCTGTCCTGTTATCCTCAGTTGACTTTCAACGTGGAATATTCGGCTAATTGCAACCATATATTTGCACATATTGCAGCTAAGGACAGCTGGAACTTTCAATCATCAAAATAAGTCTTAAACTCACTAAACCCACTCGTCCCTCAAAAGTTTGTTCCTAACGACTGGAAAAACAGCCACTTCAATCAAGTAATCTGTTCTTCATCAAAATTAAATCCAGGGTGCAGTAAAGCAGAAAACTCGAAGGAAACTGAGATGGGATTGTAATTACGCCCATGTGGAAAATATGCCAAAGGCCTCGATTTCCCACATTCGGTCTTCTATTTACATATGCCCAAATCATCACTGGCTGTGTGTTTCCACTTTCAAAACTGCACTGGATGTCACTGTGGATTCCAGTAGTAGTAGAAAATCACGTAAGAGATGTGTTCTCACGACAAAGTGATCTTGCTACTGTTCTGTCGTTCGTTTCAATATAGGTGGCAAGAACCAACCAAAAAATATGCTTTTTTTTGGTCACAGTCACAGAAACTCGAAATTTGATTGGGGTGGGGGGGTGGAACTGTCTGACATGTGCGGAAACCCACCACCGTGCTTAAAACTATCCGAACCAATCTGAGAATTCCATGCATTTGACCTATACATGGAAATTCCAGGAATAAATTGTTTGAATGGAACGCACACTCTCTTCCTCTCTTCTGCTTACCCAATTCCGGAAAGTATTAGGCGCAGGTTGGCAAGAGCAAAGTGTGCGTTGGCGTACTGCTAGAGCTAAAAATTAATTTGAATTCTTTTGACAAAGCCAATTTCCTGATATGTACTAAGGTAGTATTTTTTTCTTAATGGAGTAGTTTACAGTAGGGAAGCCCTATGAGTAACACAGCTCTTAGATCATGTTGTCTTTCCTAAAGCAAAGATTGTTGTGCATAAATGTGACTGTCAGATTAATCACAGTATCCTCATCCCAAGCAATTTTGGAATTTGGTCAGATGGTATTTTTGTCTATTGACAACAAACATAGCGGTCACAGTAATAGTGTTTCATGTATCAAAGGCTAATAATGACCTCTACCACAAGTGTTTAATATGAATCATTATGAAATCAAAATGAGTTGAATGCCAAAAAGGGTTAGTAAATGCTTGGCTCATGAACAGCTGCCTAAGCTGTGCTGTGGAGAGGATTGCGTGGGCTGAACTGCTCGCCAACACTTTCTGAAGGGACTTTCTTAAAGATACTTTGTCCTGCCCGAATAACGCTAAAGTACATTTTTGCAATTTATAAAACGTTGGCTTTGGTGAACTTTGGTTGCGACACGTCCCAAAGAAATATCTAGTGGGTTGTTTTGAATTCTCTCATGCAACTTTCATATTATTGTGATGAGGACAAAGGTTATTTCACAGGCTAGGGCTGCACTAATGCCGTACTTGTAGAATATTGTGTTCCTTTATTATAATAATAATCTTTGCATTTCATATAGCGCCATATCACGTCTTTGAGACGTCTCAAAGCGCTTCACAGGATATACTGTAAAGTGTAGTGACTGTATATTTTGTGGCCGAAACGCAGCAGCCAATTGCGCACAGCAGTGTCCCACAAATCTTGGAATGAATGATCAAATCAATATTTTTATATAAAAGGTGTGTGTGTGTTCTGATGTGCTCTTGATGATAGGAAATTACAAGTGTTTCATGGGATCAGCAGCGTGAGGAAAGAAAAAGGCACAATATCAGAAGAACTGTACTGCAAGCCTGGGTCTTCTCATTGAGCACCCTGTTTTCTGCAGGGAACCTCTTCTTTATACTGTGTATGCTATAGGCCTTCACTGTTATCTGCCTGTTCAGGTGGATGCTAAAGATCCCCATAGCACAATTCGAAAGAGAGAATGCCATCAGTTACCAGTGTGTTGAAGCATCATAAAAATTTAAATCGAGAGAAAAAATTGAGATGAGTATAACAGAGACTGAGTGTTTGTAGCACCGAACTCTGCTCTTTGCATCTAGGATATTTACATGTTTCCAAACTAGGATCTGGATGAGCAGGGACAGTCAGCGGGTTGAGTGCACAAATCACATGTTACCAACAACAATTAATGCTGGAAAAAAACGCAGTGTCTTTGAATTGGTTAGCACAAGTAACAAGCATATTTTTCATAAGAAATGTTTCACAATCTTACAGCCTATCTCCCCCGCACTCTGAAACTCCATCCCGAAGTTCCTCCTACTTGATCCCTCCCTCCGTCTCAAGACCTATGATGTCTCTGGTCATCTTTCCTCCGCCCTCAACTCCCTCGTGTCCCACCCCCAGCTCGGGTGCTAAGCCAGGATTGTTAAAGGCCTTGGGATGTCCTCCTGACCTGAAAGGTGCTGTATAAATGTAAGGTTCTAATGTACTGTATTCACACGGTCTCACGTAGAAAGGTTACTATTATGAGAAGTGTGAGTTTAAGGGGCATCATTGCCATGGTACATGCTTGATGTTCAGAGTAACATGATAGGGGGCTATTTAAGACATAGCCTTGTGGTGCCAAGTGCTTGACATAACCCATCAATTTTTTTAAAAACTGGAGCAATAAAAAGTGATAAACCCCCCAAAAATCTGCATTGCACAAGTTCATCGTTTAGCAGATGTAACATCTGTGGAGAAGCTTTCCTCCCAGCTGACCTGCTTTAGCAAAACAGCTGTCTTTATTTTTTGGGTTACTGGCTAGCCCGATGACATCTGAACTGAACTTTTGGATCAGGTTATTTGAGAAGCTGAAGTCTGGGCCAAAGCATGCCCAAAGGCACAGGACCTCCTTCCAGCACACACACATACAGACAGTATTTAGGACACAGTGTATTTCATTACTTGGATGATTGGCATTTAGGACCCATTCAAGGTTCTGCATGTTAGTTACTGCAGCCTTTAAAACCCTGAAATCTTAACAGCACAAGGACCCCGACTGCGATGCACATACAGTAAAGCCCTGTTATAATGCAGTAGTTGGGGGTCTGTAAACTCCCAACCAGCGGTATAACAATATAATATAAAATTACATTTGGATAGCGCCTTTCACATCGGGAGGATGTCCCAAGGCCCTGGACAGTCAGGGATTTGGACCTGAGCGGTGGTGAGGGGGAGGGAGTTGGGGGGGATTGGATCAGCTGGGTGAAGGGCAGAGAGAGTAGGGGTAGGAGGGTGGCCAAAGGTGCAGTCGAAGAGGAGGGTCTTGAGATGTGCCTTAAGGAGAGAACTGAGGGAATGTGGGATGGAGTTCCAAAGGGTGGGGGCAGAGATTCTGAAGACCCAACCGCCATTGGTGAGCTTGGCCGGGCGGGGAACGAGATGCAGCCCAGAGCCTGCTGAGCGGAGGGAGTGGACAGGTTGATATGGGGTTAGCAGGTCACAGAGGCGTTATCGCTGCCGACTAACGCACATGCAAAAATTTAGTCGGCTTCAAAAATGTTGGCTGGCCACAGCACCAGAAGCCACGTGTTGGCATTGACGCCAATCTTGTGGGCTGCATGTTGAGAGGACTCTTCTAAAAGGGTTCTAGTGCAGTAGCCACACAGTAGCTCACTGCCTTTAAAACGCACAGAACTAAATGAAAAACATCCTCCCTTATCAAACCATATTCTACTGATACGCCACTTAATGACTGAATCATAGAAGTAAAGCTTTGGTTCCCCCCAATTGTTCTGTGAGAATAATTAATCTCCGGCTGGATTTTGCAGGTTTAAAACTACTCGGTAGTGGTTTCACTGTTTTACACTAGGAGAGAATCAGTACTACATTTGACTTGACAATGCAAATAATTCTGGTCATTTACAATTCGTTTAAGCAATCTAAGGTTTCTTTTTTCCATGATAAACGGGGAAAAACTGTGGTTTCCTCCAAGTGGGTCACTGATAGGATATTTGGATGCTTCCTTTCCGTTCCACTAGGGGGCACAGTAATGCCACAGTTTACCGGGACCTAAAATGACCCAGAAAGTACAGTGCAGTAGAGTGGTTTGGTTTAGTATTTTATTATAGTTTGCTTCTATCAGCTGAAGGCAACTCTCATATTGTATCAATGCGTGTGAACATGTGATAGAAGTGCATTTATCAAGTTAATTTTATGATTTTTAATCTAGAAATAGCAAATAATAGCCAGAAACATGCAACCTCCAAATTTTTATGTCTGCTCAACCCGTTCGGTGCAGTTTCCTACTGAACGCTGCACACAAAAAAAATCTATCTTGCCCTTCCTTGTGTGTGCGTGTGATGAGATTCTAGATTTAACTTTAAACCATGCAAATTGTTTTGGTTGGTGCTTGCATGCAATGAAGCAAACAGGCAGCAGAGCATGTCTGCCAATTTACAAACTCACCCCCCAGTTTTAGTGTTCTGACCTGGATTTTTTCAAATAAAGAAAGCCTAATTTCCAAACGGATGGATGAATGGCTTATTTTTTTAAAAAAATGTAAATAAAAAAAAAATGTCTAGAGTGTACATCTCACTGTATGGTTGTCACCAATACACAGTCACAGGAGGACTTCTCAAAGTGAAAGGTGCTCTGTAAATGCAATCTTGTTGTTGTTGTCAAAGCTCTTGACACGAGCTGGGGGTGGGAGCCGAAGGGTGGGGAATTGGGGCGAGGAGGGGTTGTGCGAGTAAAGTCCTGTGAAACGCTTTGAGACGTCCTCCCAACTCTGGGAAAGGCACTATATTTAAAATGCTAGGACTTATTGCCCACAAAATACATAGTCATCTTGCAATACAGTATATTCAGTGAAGCGCTTTGAGATGTCTCAACAATGTGATAAGGTGCTATATCAAATGCAAGGATTATTAATATTATTATTGTATGAAATGTTCAATTTCCCCCGCCCGCTCCCCACCCGTCCCGCCGCCCAGCCCCTAGAAGAGAGAAAATGGTAACATACAAAAACACAGCGGCAATTACACGTTAACAACTTATTGTCTGGTGTGCTACTCCCTCCCTCCCTCCCAGTGTGGATGTGTGCAATAATAAAAGGGGCGAGAAACTTACATCACGACTCCTGGACATTTGAGCTGCCCCCAGGAGCACTGGTGATACTCGGCTTTCACATAAGTGTCGGTGCCATCCTGCATGGTGCAAGTGATGTTCTTTTTCACAATGTAGGCGCAATAGTTCCTGCGAGGAAAACCCAATAACACATCACCTTCCGTAACAAGGCAGGGAGGGACGGAGGGGAACAAGCAAGTGTTTTCCACTTTCTTAACCCTTTCAGTCTTACTGAAAACCTGTTCAAGCGCTCTGGGACGCTACCCCGCATGAGGGGCGCTATATAAATGCAAGTTTTTGTTGTACGGTATTGCAAACTTCCACACTGACAAAGTGGGGATACCATTCTCTCTGTTTGGAACATTTCTGAAACGTTACTTCCCCCCCCCCCCCAAAAAAAAAACCATCAGCCCACTCCCCGCCACCACACAGCCTTTTTTAAAAATTAATAAGTTCGTTTTTTTTATTTAAAAGTTTTTTAAAAAATGAGCTTTTTTTAAAAATAATGAGTTTTTTTTAAAAAAAGTTTAAAGGGTTGAGTTAAAAAGTTAACTTCTGGTGCTCTAACTTGGAGTGTGGGGGGGGGGGGCAAGTTTAGTGGGGGAGAAGGTAAAGGGGTGTAAATGATTCCCATTTCAGAGGAAAGTTGTTGCTGTGGTATTCTTATTTAAAACTTTGGGACAACATTACCTGTTGCCTGGTGCTCGATGCAGAGGTCTAAGGTCTGTGCATGGCTATCCCCTGCGTTTCACATGCCCTCCCCAATAATAATTACAGTACGATTAGGAATGCAATAGAAAAAAATGGAAAAAAAAAAAAATTTGCAAGGAGATTTTACACACACTGTTGTAAGGCTGTTTTACACATCGACCCACCCTGTGGGAGTGTTATATGAAACACACGAAAAGTTAGCATTATCATTTATTTCTGAATTGCAGTTTTAAATAATTGCAACACACACACACACACACACACACATATGTACAGTATACTTCTTTATTGAGCACACGTCTCGCTGGGGCTGGTTGTCAGGAGAGAGAGAGAGAGAGAGAAAAAAAAGTAAAGTCAAATCAACTCACTTGTGTCTGCTAGTGACTCTCCCCACTCCTTTCAAGCTGGGAGTCGATCCTGAGGTGAAGAGGTTGTATCTGTAAGGATGGTGGTAGAAATTGCCCTTAGCATCGATCAGGGCTAAGAGAGCCACCAGCACTGAGACAGAAGCCAACATAGTGACAGACAGACACGACAGACAGACCCACAGCCCTTTAAATGGGTATCAATCAGCTGGAGCTCAGTCCCCCCCCCACCCTTCTCTGCCTGGTTTAAAGGGCTGGTGCTATCTTGGTCCCTGTTACTCTCTCTCTCTCTCTCTCTCTAACTGAGTGAGAGCTGTATCACCAGTTGAACAGTGAAACCTCAACCCAGTGCCACTGTGCCAACAACCCAGCCAAGTGGAAACTTGAATAGAGTTTTCTTTCTCCTTCTCTCTTTCTTTCTCTCTCTCTCTCTTTCTCTCTCTCCTCGAGGTTAAAGCAGAGCTGAGATGCCTGTGCTTTCCTGAGGCAATTGCTGATCCATTCACAGTGCAGATCCAGCTCTATATGTCTGTCTCCTCCAACTCCAACCTCCCAGTACTTTGCAGATCCCTGCGAGGGGTGTGTGTGTGTGTGTGTGGGTGGGTGGGTGGGAGGGTGGGTGGGTGTGTGTGTGTGTGTGAGTGAGGGGGGGCGTTTCATTCGTATTAGCATAACATCAGCTCCTAGTAGAGGAAACAGCAGCACTGCCAATCAGGCAATGAAGAGCCCCCTCTCTCCCCCTCTTCCCCTGCCCATCATTAACACACAGCAAACCCTTGTTGGCCAAAATCCATTTGCCAATGGGTTGGGGGGTGGGTGAGGGGGAGCCTGACTCCCCCCCCCTCCACCCACCCCCACCACCACTGATTTTTTGTGAACCATTTTTTGTGCCCATCACTTCAGATCCAGAGCTCAGTATCAGTTAGAGCTGTGTTAGTGAGGAAGAGATGTATTACTGTAGATTGGGTTGACCCATCACTGCACAGACTGAATTTAGCAGATCAGTGTTGTCTCTCTCTATGTGTGTGTGTGTGTGTGTGTCTCTCTCTCTCTTACCAACCTGGGGCTCTGTGCGGGTGCCATGTGGGTGCAAGAAATGGGTGGCTATTGAAATGGGAGCTGGTGGGGCTAATATAAAACAGGGGAAATCGAAGAAGGCAATTAGGTCTTTTATAGGTTTATTCCAGGTAACACATTTTCAATTCATTGTGTAATAAATAAATATATATATATATGTTTGCGTGTGTGTGTATCTATATATTTAATAAAAAAAAGTTACGCAGATACGAATAGGTCAGAACGGAGCGTTCAAAGCCACTCTTATTCAAAGAAAAGCTTTGATTTTGCGCTGGTTTTCAGAGCAGACTCTCTCTCTCTCTCCCCACTCCACCACCCTCCCTCCCTGGCTCAGTGCCGTGTGAATGCTACACACACTCACTCTGTGCCAGCGTTACAGCGGAGGGGAACTCAATACAGTGCTTGTGGTCACACAGCGCTGCTGACAGACATAGTCAGACAGACTTTGAACTTTCCTGGTGCAAAGAATGGAAGGAATGCGCTCAATTATAATCTTTCCTCTTCTCTCTCTCCCCCATCCCCCCACCTCCACCATCCAATTTTGCCAACGTTTCTCCCAGATATTGGGAAGATTTATCCTACACTAATCATCCACAAACAAATTGGCCACTCACTCACTATATAGCTGTTTGTGGGACATTCTGTGTGCATGCAAACTGGCTGCTCGCATTTTGCCCATGAAATAACACAGTCACTCCACTTTACAGAATATCCGTAAAGTGCTTTGCGAGGTATCGACTATGTGATAAGGCGCTAGATCACATGCAAGGATTATTATTATTATTACTATTATTGTGGTCCAAACGTTTCTAAGTTGGTTTGAATGCAAACCTCCTTCTGTCTGTTCTTCAGATGCAATTAATAAGGAGAAGGCGCCAACAAACAAACTGGTCACCTAATCTGTTGACAACTTGTTGTGCGCAAAAAAAAAACAGAGCTGTCCAGTTGCCCACAAAAACAGACCCTACGCTTAACAATAGTTACCCGCGAAGCCCTTTGAGATGTTTTTTTTGATGCAACAGGGTGCTATAAAACTACAAGCTCGTTTTCTTTCTAAGGTGCAAGGGTTGATTTACGTTGGGTTGATCAATGTGCATTCCACTGAATCCGTGCTAGGCAGAGTTACTGCAGATGTGCATTTAAAGTCCATCATTTTAAAAAAAAACAGCCAAGTTTTGCATAGCCTAGGGGAAATGCCTCATTTGTGACATTTTGACGTGTATCAGGCAGACAGCAGCATAACTTGTGCAGATGCAGCATAGAATATAGGAGCTAGAGAACGCAACAACACACACACTCACACTTCCACAAGACTGTGGTGTTTATGCTGTGCCTATTAACACAGTGCTCCAATATCCACACTGTCTTTAAAGCTGCAATTTTCAGTTTGCATTTCACAAATGATCATTAAAACCCCCAAAAGTAATTGCGACAAAAATAAATCTCTGGTCTGAAGACAACTGGGAGTAATTATTGGGCAGTAATCTAATCAAAAGGGCTCAGATAAGGTCATAAACTGAGGGAGTGAATTTGACTGATTTATATCCGGCTTCTTAAAGCCGAGGTAAGATTTATAGGCTTAAAATAGTTTTATTATATGTTATTTCTTTAATGAATATTGCTTCAATTAGTATATATTTATATATACGTGTGTGTGTATGTGGTATGCGCATGTGTTGGAGGAATATTGTGTTGTTTACTCCATGTTTTTAAAGCATTGGGATCTCGCACGTGATTAACAGTAGACTGTGCCAGCAGACTGTACAGTACATCTATCGAGAAATAATCTGGATTACTGAGAAATTTGATGCATTCTGTGACTTCAAGTTAATAACGCACATTCATGTCATGTTTATAGATCCATTAATCATTCCTGTCAAGGTTGAATGCAAGAAAACGCAAGCTTCCTTAAGGGATACGAACATCAGTGGTGACTGAGAATGCGTTAATCACCCATAAATAAATAATACCTCACTGTTTCAAAATCTTACCTCGTCAACACCCTACCTTTTAACTGCAATTACATTGGTGTTTTCATGAATGGATCAATTATAGTACACAGTTTGCAAGGATTTGATGTGATTCATATGTTGGATTGATTCCCAACCCTCCCTCCCTCATTCCAGTTTAACTCGCAGTTTTGTGGTCCCTACTCACTTGACTACAGACAAGTGTGTGAGACCACATCAGAGAGGTAATGTTGTGTCACCTTGGCTTCGCTGTAAGTGTAAACGCAAATGGTGCAAAGGAGACTTGCGAACATCAAGCGAGATTTAAAATGTTCCCAAGCGGTGGTAGCACTCTCGCCTCTGAGTCACAAGGTTGTGGGTTCAAGCCCCATGTCGGGACTTGGAATCACATTGTCTAAGATGACGCTCCAATGCAGTGATGAGGGGGTGTGTTGTATTGTCGGCAGTGTCGTCCTTCAGTTGAGATGTTAACCCAAGGTCCCGTCTGTCTGTTCAGGTGAACGTTAAAGATTCAATGGCGCTATTCGAAAAGAGAAGGAAATTTCCCCTGGTGTCCTGGCCAACATTCCCCAGATAAAATTGGTAACTCACTCCATGGCTGTTTGTGGGGCACTGCTGTGCGAAATTGGCTGCCGAGTTTAGCCCCCAAAAAGCACAATTCACTTTACAGTATACCTATGTGAAGCGCTTTGAGACACCTCAACAATGTGATAAGACTCTACATCAAATGAAAAGATTATTATTATTATTAAATGAATTCTAATCAATGTGGTTCCCAGCATGAACCTGACCCTCCCTTTTCCAGCTGAATGTGTGCAAGGCTGAGCAAGATCAGCGCCACACACAGTGCGAGTGGGCCACAGACCCTCACTTGAGTGCCAATAGCAGAAATCGCAGCAATGTTTGGTTACATGAAGCATCCACCCAGTAATCTGCTGGAATTGCCAGATTTCAATTACAGGATGATAGGTCTGTTACTATGTACATGTGAGGGTTGGCGGTGAGGGTGGAAGGCAGGGAAAGCTGAAAATGATTTAACATTGTAAAATGTGAAATTTTATAGAACTTTTTAATAGAAAATTTCATACAAGAGGTTAAGTGTTATTTTAAGGTCCTGTTTCTGAACTGTGGTCTGTAATAAGCTGTAGATTTGGCACATGGCTTGTTCTTTAAAAGTTAATAACTTAAAAGTGTATTCAGGAGTTCCTGAGACCAAGACGTCAGCTATATCGATCAACTTCCAATATTCTGGACATCACACGGCTAGAGACAATGATAAGGACTTGCGTCTACAACCTGCACTTCATGTTGGAGAACATCTTGGAGCGCTTCTGTACAAAGAAACACACGTTTAGCTTTTCTAACTTGTGTTATTCCCACTTTTTTGTGTCTGTGAAACATTAGCTGCACCGACCGTGGGAATGACATTGAACTCGTCTTGAAATGAAAAGGTTTAACACTCGTAATTAATTAGAATCAATAAATGAAGCCTCGGTGACAAAGGGTCACGACCATCACCTTCAGTGGGGAAACGATGTGCTAATTATTTATTTAAAAAATCAAGAGGCGAAAGCTGGTATTGAATGGTGGGTAGCTACTTTAATTTGGAGAGAAATAATCTTACGGTGGGAATGAATCCTGATGACCTGGGCCAATAGAAAAGTGTGCCCGCAATTTTTCCGTGGAATCCGCTAATGACAGCGCCTTCCTCTATAAAACCGCTAAACAATGGAGTTTCTGACTCTGGGTCTCCCGGCTGTTTACTGTGGATGGGTTGGGAGTAAAATGTACCTCAATAGCGCCAATCAACTCCTTGCAAGTTTCCACAAAATTTGGCAAATCGCCCCACAATGTTGCAAATTCCCCCGCAATTCTTGGCAAATATTTCCGCACTTTTCTATTGGCCCAGCTGATGACCAACAAATAAGGATCCACTGGAGTCAGAAAAAAGTAAGTGTCCATATTAGTGCTGAAAAGGGGAGTGAGTTTTTTTTCACACAGCGAGTTATTTGGATTTGGAATGCATTGCCTGAAAGGTTGGTGAAGCTGATTCGATAACAACTTTTAAGAGCGAAGTAGATCATTATTTGGGGAGGACAAGTTTGCAGGGCTATGGGGAGAGAGCGGAGAGTGGGGTTGAATTGGAAGCTCTTTTCAAAGAGCTGGCACAGACACGATGGGCCGAATGGCCTCCTCCTGTACTGTATAATTCTATGATATGCAATGTGGTGATCTGTTGAAGATCATTAAAAATTGACCTTTTGTTTCAATCCACAAAATATAGTCAATTCACTTTACAGTATAGTCTGTGAAATACTTTGAGATGTCTCAACGAAGTGATCAGGCGTTATATCAATGCAAGGATTATTTTTATTATTAGTGCAATAAAAAGTGCACATCCTAAGTTCTTAATGATCTGGTTGGAGTGCGGGTAAAATACAATCAAGCCCGCATTTCGGATCATTTCAAATCCCAAGAACTGAAAGTTACCTGAACGCTCACGACTGCAGATCGAACG